ATAATTTAGTATGCAATGGGCCTCATCCACAATGAATGATAATCCTCTAGAAGATTTAATTGATTTTAACATATTCCGAAAGGTAAAATTATTAGTAAATTTTTCAGTAGTGACAATCAAAATGCGAGTTAATCCAGAACCAATTTCAGATAAAATTTTTTCTTGATAGGTCAATGATTGCTTTTCAGATCTATATAGTTTTGCAGATGGGATTCCTATTTTTATAAATTCAATCTAATTGGAAAAAAAATAATTAATACATATTATTGAGGTTGTCTACTATACTTATTAAATAGAGATAATTACCAATTGATCATCTATTAATGCCTTTAATGGAGATAATACAACTGTTAGACCAGATCTTATCAATGCTGATGCTGCATAGCAAAATGTTTTTCCTGCTCCAGTTCTCATAGAAACAAATACATTTTTTCCCTTAATATATTCCAAAACTGCAGTTTCTTGGCCAGGTCTCAATTCTTTAAAATCAAATACCTCACATGCAACTGATTTTATTTTTTCTAAATAATTGTTATTTAAATTGCTGATGGGCTGATTTACAACCAATGAACATTGATTGTTTAGAATGTTATCCATTAAGCCATTAATGTAATAGAAATTGCAAACACGACAAAGTCCATTTGAAAAAAATCTAGAAAATGCTTGACATCCAATACATGAAAGTTTAACATTATAATCTATTAACATATTAGCAAAAGAAGGTCGAAATATGCCAGTTCTAATTTCATCTTGTGCTTTTTTCCCATAAGGTACCAAATTCTAAAAAATTATAAAGATGGTATTGGTATGTGTTATTTTATTCTAATTCATTAAATTTTCAACCATTAAATCAAGCTACTTACTGAGGCAAAATCTATTGAATCAAACTGTTTTTTAAATTCTGAAATTTTTAATGCTAATTTTGATTTATAATCTTTTAATTTTTGAAAATTATAAACTCTCTTGCTATCACGTTCACAAGCAATTTTACTAATATTTTCCAAATCAACATTTGAATATTCACTATATTTGCTAATGTCTCTATAAATTACAAGAAAATCCAATATTCCTTCATTATAATACAAAACAGATGCTGAATGACGACTTGTAAAGGATTTCCAGTATTCAATTAATTTATTGGTATGACGTAACTTTACTCTATTGAAAGATTCATTATAGTTAGTTCGATATGGACTAATTAGACTTTGCCTTAATGGTAATTTGAAAACCTTTTCTAAAAATGTTCTAAATGATAATTTCTGATAGTTATTATAATTATATAAGTTTGGTGATTTCAATGATTCACCGGTTTTTTTGTAAGTACATATTTCATCCCAACAATGTTGATGATCACCTGAAAGATGGCTTGTTAATCCCACAGTTTGTACAAAATACAAATCTTCATCATAGTTTGCACCATTAGGATTTTCTTCTTTTCTTTTGGTTGCTGCAAAAATAGAATCAGTGAAGTAGCACATAGAAATATCAGCAAATTCTTTCCAAGTATTATCCTTTTCTAAACAAAAAAATTATGAATTATGATGCGTTAATTAAAATCATTATATTTATTATTATCTTTATAGTATACCTATTCTTTTACGAAATCTCTTTGTAGAATGTTGTAAATCAGCATAAATCCTATTTACAAAAGGAAAGTTGGCCAATGTTTTATTTGAATCCAAATCTCCATCAATGCAAACATCAAGCAACAAATTTTCACGATTTATTATAGGTTGTATTTTTTCCATTATTTTTATTAAGATAGAATGTTCCATTGTTTTGGAACTATCATTATGATTCCCTTCATGTAAGTTGACATCTTTGCCATCTAAATTTGCAATTCTAGGTTTTTCTGCTACATGGAAAGCAATGACAGGTTTATGTATATAACCAGGAATATCTACTCCACTTATAAACTCCCCACTTGCCTGGTTTGCATTACGGCAATGTGACCATGAAGTATCAAATGATACTGGTAATACACGTTCACCTTTTTCTTTAATAAATTGTATCAAATTTTGAAAAGACTTTTCAGCACTTACTTCTGCTTTCTTTGTTATATTTAAAAATATTTTAGCTTGATGATCAAAATATGATGATTTACAGCTTTGCCTAGTGATTCCTATAGCAGCCAGTGTATCTCTAAATTCTTCATGGTTTATACCTCCAATTAGAGCTGAAGTTGAAATATTCTCGGATAAATTAGGATTTGAATTATTAAACTTCGTTTTTTTTCCACAAATTTTACAATGTACAATTACATTTAAAATAAAACCATGTGTAGATGCTTTGTGAGCTTTCTTAATTAATTCTATAGATCCACATTTTATGCATGGTTGGTTTACAAGTAACTTAAGGTAAATTTCAGTGTCAACAAAAATATGTGACCCAACTTTGGACTGTTCTATCAAATTTTTGACTATGCATGATTGTTCATCTGTTTCTTCATCTGATTGCACACTTAAAATAGAAAATAAATATTAAGACCATAAATTTTCTTATAAAAAAAAATTAATTAAAATTACTTACTCACTATCATCATCACCACAATCGCTGATATCAGTTATAGTGACATTATTATTAACATCACAAGAATTTCGTAATCTTTTATTTTTTCTTTTTTCATTGTGCATTTGATTTTCAAGTTCTTGAACACGAACAAATGCAGCCTGAGATTCCAAAGGATTTAATTTGACTCCTTCTTTTCTTATGATCACTCCAGTATTCACAATACTTTTTAAATTACTATTATTTTCAAATGAATTTTCAATTACATTTGATTTTCTTTTTATAGATTTGTTTAATCGTTGAGTATTTTTAAGTGCCATAAAAAATGGCTTAGATTTTACAAATAAACCTGAGAAAGTTGAATTCACTATACCACGTAAATAAGCTACATTCTCATAAATGTTTAACCCTAAAAGAAAAGGAATTGAAAATCTGCCACTACAATCAATTTGACTTCGAAATTTGAATAAATTATCTTCAATTTTTGACTTTTTTGGTACAATAAAACTTGAATCACACCCATAATCCACCCATAAAAAAGCTAATTTGCAATCTTCAGTTTTTTGAATTTGAAACTTGTAAAAATGATTGGCATGTAGTGTATAAATGGTATAACCTGAAAGTAATGGAACCCAGGTTTTGGTACAATTTTCTGCCTGAAATCCTTCGACTTTTGCTAATAAATAAAATCCTTGATTTTCTTTATTT